CAACCATGGATGCTCCATTGTCAACGATGGAGCCATTTGCCCCGCTGTCAAACTTGAGTGACTTCGCCTCGTGGGAGAATCCGCCGTCCACCTCGACAAACTTCGGACAGCCCGAGGTCACTACGAGCTCTACGAGTTCAGTGAGCACCTCAATTACCAAGGTTGTCACTTCCTCGTCGGTAACATCAGTCTCGCCAACTATCTCCCCATTCGTCGGAACTGTAACGGGCACAATCTCGGTAGGCAACTCAACCTCATCGACAACCGCACCATTCATCGGAACTGTAACGAGCACAATCTCGGCAGACAACTCCACCACCTCATCCAACTCTACTCCTGTCTCTCACCCCAAGCATGACAACGCCATCAAACCCGCGGTCATAATTGGCAGCATCCTAGGCGCGTCAGCTTTCATCATGTTCGCGATAGCAGCCTGGTTCGTCCTCCGTCGCAGACGCCAGAAGATTATCAAGGTGCAAAAGATAATTGGCGCCCGAATGGGAGGCGACTCACTCGGTCCAGAAGAAGGTTACGAAACCCTCTATTTCCCCGATGCACCAGTTCCCGGGGCAGACACCAAGTCCGCTCAAATCCCAACCCTCCCAGTCATACCGGAGGAAGTCCACTCAGTGCCTGCCTACTCCAATGGACCTTTCGTTCTCGCGCACTCAAACCCAGACCTGTCAATGGACAGTCTGTACCTGCGTAGTGAACGTTCACGACGCGCCTTCTACACTGAAAACACGGTGACCTCAGACCACGAGACTGACCACTCCCCTTCTCTGGCAAAGGATGTATCTCCTCGATCCCATGTGGTATCTACATACTCCCGCTCATCATGGGAAGATGCAAGTGTGAGCAATCTCGATTTCTACGGAGATAGTACCACCGCTCTCCCCCAGGAGCTGGACGGCGTCACTCTCCCACCTTCCAACTCAAAGTATCTGGAAGCCTGCATGTCGCGTGATAGTCTGCGCAGCGACCCGTTCGATCTCGAGGCTCCTAGTGTCTCGAACCCTCCTGGCAGCCCACCAGTTCCACCTGTTCCTACAGAGTGGGGAACCAAGTTTTAGGCTTGTTGCGTCCCAACGCTCGAACATGCGTTCGTTTCACTTTGTCGTCAGTTTAATGGTCGGCATTGTTGGATCTGCTTTTTGACTTTCTTGTTTTGTGGGTTTAGCTTTTCGTCGCATGTTTGGCGTGTTTCGTTTATGACTGAAAGATTTTATGCCCCTTTATGGCTCTCTACTTTTTTGTACCGATTTTGTTCTAGCTGTTGCTACTTGCTACTTGCTACTTGCTACTTGCTACTTGCTTCTTGTTTGATTGAGATTCCCCCGGGTCGCATTTCTTCTTGTTAGAGTTGGTTGGGGTTGGTGTGTTTGATTGTACGATTACTGAAAAGGGGTAGGAGGGTATTTTACTTAGCTCTCTCTAGTGAAAGCTCTTCTTTTTATTTCTTATGTACACTAGCTTATCAATTGGAAGATTCTTTTTTCCGATGAAGCCGTATTCCTTGTGTCCTCCAGAGCCTCAATCACATCGGATGACCGTTCACACTCTACATTGTTTCACCAACTACTCACACTTGTAGACCGCCATTCCAAGCCCAAAGTCCCAGTCCAGGAAATAAGAGAGAAAGAAAGTTTACTCGTATCGAATTGATTGAAATGCTGTTACCCAAACTTCGTGTTCGTTCTTCGGGTGTTCTAAAGAAAACAACAAAGACCATCTGCCAATTGAATAACAAGCCATCGCCTCGGGGCTTAAACTTTAACCTCATTGTTAGGATACTTCAGGATCCGGGCAGGTTATTCACGTCTCAGGGCCTTGCAATATTTCTTCAAGGTCGTGCGGCTGTGTTCATATCCATATCCCGGATACAGGGAGTATACACACTTGCAACCCAACTCATCCATCAACCGGCGGTGTACCGGATCAAGAAGTAAATACATCCTAAAGTCTGATAGATCGACATGGCTCTTTCTGTGTTATGGTTTTGAAGTCTGGAGAAACTTCTACGCCAGAACATGTGCCTCCTTCCCGGCATGGTGAGATCAGAGACGTTACCTTACCGTACTTCTAGAAGAGGTGTTGAAGTTTGACCGCTACTTATGTCAAGGGTTAAGTGCAGCAAGGACACGGGATATTGGAACTTTCTGGTATACTTTGCCAGGCTATGTGGTGTAGGCGAGACGTTCCGGGATTGGGTTGCTATGCTGCATGCTGTGGTGAGTACAGTGGCTCTTCGGAATTCAGACCCGGAAGTGATGGCCAGTGATGGCATCTTAGTATGCAGCGATACTGTACATTTTACACTCTGGTGAGGACTCCTGCTGTTCAAATAACGTTCTAGGGAGTCATCTGAGGAATGTGGATTCCACAATGCAGAGTTTGACGATACGCCACGTTCAACTCATATTTGCTCTAATTAAGCTAGCGAGGTGTCTGAGGGCTAAATATGTAACAGGTATGCTTTTGTCATGTAGGATTAACCTGTACTTTTGCTAGATTAGGAGTTTTGTTCTGCAATCTTCATTTTTATACTTGAAATTGGGTGGAGTGATCTTGAAAATATATATATGCAATAGAGCAACAATTTCACGCAAATCATATTCATTTTTTATTATATGTCTAGTTTGATAGGATATCACAACCGAAATAATGATTAAAATGATGTGACAGGCAATTGAAAGTGTTAGATAGTGTGATATTGTAGTGTGAGTGGATGGATGATTCCCCCAAAGTGGGTAGATCTCCTATGATCAATGCCCCAGACACCACAAGTAGCCACAAGACCCATAAATTACTTAGAGAGGATTCTGCTCCACGACATGAGATTACCAATGGGAGATGACGCAGGGATTGTTTTGAGAATATGCCTGCGTAGCGCATGAGTTGACATGCTGTGTACTCCGTGTACGCCCTGTCTGCCCTGGACATGACAGTGAACGATGACATCTACTGTATCTGGTGATGACCCCGCGTAGTGCAGCTACATGTAGCTGCCCAAGTGAGATCACAAGGAATCTCCTGAGAGGCATAGAGCCTCGGGCAACAGGCAATTTGCTGGCGATATCTACGGGAAGCGACGTGACCTCGTGTAGGTAAAGTAAAAAAAGATTTCCTTTTGCTTTCTCGTTACATTTTAGAACAAGAATAGCTTGAGTATCACATCATCATCGCATCTTCCTATTTTCCCATGGCCATATTTCCCCAAAGATCCAAGAAGCCCACGAACCCCACGCGATCGAGAGGGAAACGGCATAGAAGAAAGTCGTCACAACAGAAATCTAGACTAAATAGGAAGAGTTGAAGGCCGACCTGGATTCGATATCGGGGTAGCCTCGAATCCCGATCTCCAACCCAGAAGTAACCGTTTCCAACCTCTGCACCGCCGAATTGCGAGAAAGAACTTCAATCAACAGAAGGGAAAACTTGAATTTTTGTTATCAGATTTACTCCTGAGTCTCGTTGATCAGAGCATCGCGCTTAGCCTCCTTGCGCTCCAACCGGCGCTCACGGAGAGCCTTGTTCTTGGCACGCTTAGCGTCCATCTCCTCACGGAGGACACGGTCGCGTGCACGCTCAGCCTTAGCCTTCTGGATCTGTTGCGGGAGAAAAGAACGAGTCAGCCTGGATGTTCTCCGGTATGTTCATGCTCGACCATATGCGTTCTCATCCGTAGGGTGGGTTCAGGTTTTGACTTACGTGCTCAACGAGGGCACGCTTGTGCTTGAAGGTGTTACCCTTGCTCAGGTGGTAGAGCTCGTGGTAGAGGTGCTTGTCGATCTTGCCGGCGGCACGGTAGCGGACGAGCAGACGACGGAGAACACGCATGCGGCGCATCCAGAGGACCTGGCTATAAGTAGGAAAGGATATCAGCATCTGTGTCCCCGGCTTTCCGAGCCTCTTGGATAAAAAGTCCATGGTAGGCCGGATCAAAGATGGGTGTGTGCATACCTGGGCATACGGGCGTCCTTGGTACCCTTGCGCTTACCCAGGCCACGGTGACGGCCGATACGGCGGGCCTCGTTGAGCTCACGTGCGCGGGCACGGGAGTGCATGGTGACGGGCTTGCGGATGATCAGGCCATCGCTGACGAGCTTGCGGATGGTCTGGCGGGAGTTGGCGTTGGAGATCTCGCTCATCTCGTTGGGGTCGAGCCAGATCTTGCGCTTGCCGCAGCCGACCACGGAGGCGGCGAGGCGCTTCTGGGTGGTAAGGTTGACCCTGTGGTGGAAAAAGAAACCCTGGTCAGCATCATGGCCACACACATCACGAAAGTTGTTTCCTCCACATAGCGAAAAATATCGGTCCACGGGGTTGGGTGATTTCGACAAAGATTTCCTGGCATGTGCCTTCTTGGATTGCAATAACAGTTGGAGACTCACATCTTGATGTCGGCGTATCGACGGTCGTTGGCGGATGATGTTCGTGGCACTGAGAAATCCCGACGGTGAGAGTTTGAGAGGGCACTGCGGGCCAGCTTAGGTCAGCGAGGGCTAAGCGAGTGCCTTTCCACAACGGGAGGAGAGGGTCAAGGGCTGTTAGCCCTAAGTCTAACCGGATTGGGAAGAAAAAGTAAATGATGATCCTGCAGTCCGGGGAAGCCAGAAATAGTGAGATATACGACTGGGATAGGATTGATGAAAGAGAGGCAATAGCTCTAGATACAATGCCCTTTTCTTATTTTCTTCTAGACTTCTTTGTAGAGACATGGACGCAACCGCGATCTACATCACATGACATCAAATTTCATCTCGCACATCACATGATCATCCATGTTCGGATCTATACGTACGAAGTACGGAGTACAAGCAGCCGAATGCCTACCTGCTGTGCTTCACAATCCATGTAGAAAGAATAAATGCATTTCAATCATAACTCCTACAATATACACATATACTGCTGCAACATATGTATAACTTTTATACGACTAAAGCAAAATGCAAAGGATATCTATAGACAGATGCTCCCTGTATGCGCAAAACAAATCATCACTCATCGCCAAAGGCTTCACCAAGATCAACCTTGCCAATGCTCCACAATTCCTTCTCGTCATCGATTTCATCGTTCGACAGTCCCAAGCCACCCTCGCCACCTTCAGCTTCCCGACGCTCACGCGCCTGGTTAGCCAGACGAGTGGCAATGCGCTTGAAGTAGTCAGACATGCTGCGCTTGGGACCCGGCGGGAGAGATGCACCCGGACCGGCCATATACTTGTCAAACACCTCGCTGTCGGACTCAACAACCGAGAAGATAGACAAGAAGGCTGCTTCCGCGGCGAGCTTGACGGGGATCACCAGATCGCGGACACTGCCGAAGATAGGCGGGGCCAGCAGACCCAGGTGAGGCCGAGTAAGCTCGGGATGCAGACGGCTGACTGTCCGGATCACCACTAAGCTCAGACGGCGGGTGTCGGATGGATTGCCGGCCTGAATGGCAGGTGCCAGGGCTTCGAAGATGGTCTTGCTTGCTTCGAAGGCATGGTTGCCATCATTTGACAAAAGGTACTTGCCTGCAGCGAGGGCGCTGTTATCGGACACGAAGGGCTGCTTCTGTGTTAGCTTCGAGCAAGAATAATTGAGTGAAAATTCTACTTACGTCCTTGTTGGCAATGCCTTGACAGATAACCGTGGGCAGCTCGACAGAGAAATTTTCTGTCAGAGTATCGGGGCATTCGGCCAAGAGGGCATTGAGCCCAAGAACCGAGGCGTGGGAGAGAGTACCGTTGAGGATACGGTTCCTGAGGAGGTTAGCATGAGTCAATCAATCCCAACGTGGGAACGGAGATGCATACTTGATAAGAGGGACCGCGCTCTCAACTGGAAGGACCTTGACGAGAGCACCAAGCAGGTGTGCGTTGGTAATGGCGACAGCGTCTGGGGTAAAGTTAGCAACCCGTGGAAATCAAGGTATTTGGAAGCAACCTACCAGTTTGGTCACTGGCATCATCATCAATGAGCGCAAGAATTGCCTGTCGGGAAGCCTCGCTCATATTGGCACCGGCCTTGCCGACAACCTCCTGGAGAGCCTTCATCATGGCGTTCTTCACACCAATGTCGGTAGTCTTCGATCCAGTAATGAGTTCTAGATGAGTTAGCGGCTTGTCATACTGCATAAGCGACCTGCTCGAAACATACCGGCAATAAGTGGGTCAACTCTGGGCGTCAGCGTAATCAAGATACCAAGACCCTTGGCAGCCCGGTTGCGCAGTGTCTCGCTAGTGGAATCTGCCAGACCACGAGCGAATGTACGCTGAAGTTGAGGCAGGAAAGGCTTGACGGCCAGGGGGATCTTCTCCAACAGCTTGTTAAGCGTATAGAAGATAGCGCATTTGATGTCGACTGAACGCTCCGACACAACACGAATGAGCGGACCAGTGATCTGAGTAACGAAAGGCTTCAATGACTCGGAACGGGTACGGTCGATAATGTCCGAAATCGCAAGAGCCGACTGAGTACGCTGATCGGTGGTACCGTTGAGAAGACCCTGCAAGAAGATGGGCAGAATGGCCATAATACCCTTGGGGAGACTGAAGCCTGCCAGATCGGCGCCAGCCACGCCAACCTGGCGCAGAATCTGTCGAGTAGGAATGGCCAGCACTTCCATCTCTTCCTTGCGGATGTGGGAGGTGAGACCACTGAGAGCAGTCCATGCCGACTTCACGACATTCTTGTCCCGGTCGTCGAAAGAGATCAACAGGGCCCGGATCAAGTCCTGGTAGTAGCGCGAGAAGTCTTGTTCGGCCTCCGAGAAGAACTTGTTGAGATGGAGAGCTGCCGCAGAGCGACGACGGTGGTCATCGTGCTTGGCGAGAGTAACCATCACGTTCATGGCGACATTCAGACCATCGTACTCATCCACAGAAACCAACACTGTATCGAAGGAGTTGCTGAGTTCTGTGCGGAGTTCCTCATCGGTAGTCTCGATAATACCATCCATGAGAGAATTGAGGATAGTTGGCAATTTTCTTGTCATGGCAGATCCTGCAACTTCGGCCAACGATGCCAGGGCCCTGGCGTTGAAAGCAGAAATTGGCGACGTGAGCAGGGTAGGAATGAGGTTGGGGAGGATGATGTTGGCACGAGTCTGCTCCGTGAGGAGTGTCAAAAGGGCGGACAAAGCCTGCTCGGCATCCTCGTCGTTTCTCAACAAATGGAGAAGGTAAGGCAGAACCTGATCCACGGCTCTCTTGCCCATGATCTGCTGCAGGGAATCGAAGGCCTCGGCAGCAGCCTCTCGTACATCCTCGTCGTTGTCGACCAGAGCCACGCGCACGGTGGAGATGAGAATCTTCTCAAAGTCCTCCAGAGCATCAGGGGAAGCGGCAGTGATGAGCTCACGGAGAGCAATACAGATACCCTGCTTGACATCCACGTCGGGCGAGGTCTGCAAACCATCTTCCAACAAGGGCAGCAAGGTAGAAAGGACGGACTCTCCAGCCTTCTTGATAAGGTCGCCAAGAGCGTTGCTGGCAATAACCTTCTGCTCCATGTTGGTCGATCCGAGACGGCGAATGATGAGTTGAGACAAGGTGGGGACCATGTCCTTGAGGGTCCTGGGGGAGGCGACGAGCGACTTCCAGACACCCATAGCCGCAGTCTTGACCATACCTGAGGTATCGCAGCGACAGATGAACAGAGCTGAGAGAACCTTGTCGCGGCGCTCCTCTCCGAGAACCTCCAGCAAGGATTGGCCAGCCTGGGTGGCTTCCTCCTCTTCCTCCTCGCCTTCGGTCTTTCCAGTGATACCAGTAAGACTGAAGAGGAGATCGCCGACCAGCTCAACGGAACTGAGACGGATGCGGTAGCTGTCGTCTGCTAGACCACGCTCCAACTCGGGAAGCAGGAGATCAATGGCCTTGTGAGCGAAGTTCTTGACAAGTAGGCGACCGGCCCGGAGAGCAGTCTCTCGAATGGCCTCAATGTCATCAGCCAGACCGGCAAGAATTGGGGGAATGATCTTGCTGAGGTAGTTGGCAAAGCTGTTACCGAAGCAGGCAGGCAAGAAGATGAAGAGTGTCATGAAGCCTTCACGAACAGAGGCCTTGGAGCTGGACACGTTCTGGAGAATAGTAGGCAGAGTTTCCTCGAGCCTGGTTGTACCCAGACCCGCAAGAACTTCGGAAAGGGCTTGAGCAGATCCAAGTCGGTCGCCAGCGCCAGTATCCGACTTAAGAGTAGACATGAGGTTGGGAATGAGATCGGGCAGAGCATCCTCTCCAAGCTTCTCGATGAGCGAACCAAGGGCCTTGGAAGCGGTAGCACGGGTAGTGGGAACTGGATCAACAATAGCCAGATTGAGACCGGCCACAATGATCGGCAAGTGCGAAATGAGGTCCTTGCGCTCTGTAAGATGGGCCAAACTACCAATGATTTGTGCCGACTTCCGCTTGGTGTTGGATCGGTCACTAAGACCACGCTCGAGAATGCGTACAACAAGGGCAAGCGAAGGGGCATCGAGGTAGTGCACGAAGGAAACCTTGATCAGGGAGTCCAAGGCCTCATCCGTGTGCTTGGTCGGGTCGCTGAGAGCCTTCAGAAGCACACCAACCAAACTCTTGACTTCGGGGTTGCTGATAACCTCACCGAAGCGCTGAAGACTGCGGTTCGCTGCGCTACGGACCTCCTTGTGGGTATCATTGAGAACAATAGTCAGAGGTGGAATGATATCAGGCAAGCTAGCCGCAAGCTGCTGGGGGTCCAAGTAGGCCATAGCTCCAAGCAGATCACAAGCACCCTTCTGACTACGCCACTGGGTATCATCCAAACCGTCGAGAAGAGTTGGGAGAATCTGCTTCACACCGTAAGAGCTGAGGTTTTGGAAGCATGCTCTGGAGGCCTCAAGACAGCAATCACGGACGCTAATGCTGGTATCACCAAAGCCACTGAGAAGCTGGGGTACAATCTGGATCACGTAAGGCTCAAAGCTGCGTCCAAGGACAGTAGCGAACAGCTCGTAAGCCAACAAAGCACCCTTTCGGTGACTCGGTTCTCTCTTGTTCTCGGTAGCTTCCTTGAGCAAGCTCATGATTCGGAACTCCCGCAAGGTTGCGATACCTTGACCGCACACGATAGCCGCAAGACCGTAAGCAGCACCACGTTGAGGAGGATAGGACTTGGCATTGAGAAGCGGCTCGAGGACTTCTTCCACATACTGCGACGTCTTGGAGTTGTTCAATCGGATCAGCGGGGGCAGACACTCAGCTACAGCGTACTGAACAGACTCTGAAGGTGTTTCAAGGGCCGCGAGGAGTTTCTGGATAACGGTCTGGAGACGAGGATCATCGGCCTTGAGATGGGTCGCCACTGATCCATAAAGCACAACAACAGCCTCATTCAGCTTGTCGGAGCTCTCAGAATCCTTATCCGAAGTTTCCAGGGTCGTTTGCAATAGCTTCATGATCTCCTCGACCTTTGGCTGGCCGCGCATAGTGATGACGGATTTACCGCTCTCTGTCATCTGGTGGCGGACCCGGGAGTTCGAATCGAGGAGAGGACCTCTTTCGATGAGGAATTGCAAGAAGGAGACAGTGTCGTCCGCGGAAAATTCTTTGGTCATGGCACTGAACGCGAGTGCAATACCACTGCGAGCCTCCCAGTGGTCAACATTGTCCATTTTCTTGGGCATGCCATAGGCGTCCTTCTCAGGGACCTTAGGCTTGATTTCCTCAGTGTATTTGGACTGCAGTTCCGACAAAATGCCACCAAACTTGCTCTTGTCAAATTCAATTGCATGTGCTAATGCACGGGCAGCAGAACCTCTGAGCTGATAGTCCTTGGAGTCCAGATACTTCATGATCTTACTGAAAGTAGTGTCATCCACTTCCAGTGCATTGTCTTCCCAGATTGTGTCTGCAATCTTGGCATTTTCTTCCACGGTGTCATGGCAGCCAAGCCAAATATGTTCAGAGAAGTCGAGGTCAGTCAAATCGATCTCAGCCTCAATGACCTGAAGTACAGATGTCCGGACAGATGCATCGGTAACGATGCTTCCTTCCAGGAGTGTCTCAAGCTCTTCACTGCTGATGTTCGGCGAGATGCACCGACAGAAATCGAACAATGTATCCTTGACCAGCTTGTAGTGCTGGGTGTATCTTTGCATAGCGGACAGGAGCTGGCTTAGAACTTCAACGCGAGGAAGACGGGTGTCGGTGACTAAAGAATATTAGCGTATTGTTGTGTATAGACACTATCAATAAACTCACAAGATCCAGAGTGGAAGGACAGGAATTCAAGGGCAAGAAGAACCTGTGTGCCTTCTTCTTCTCCCTTCGCCTCATCGATACCATTCTGGGTAAGAACCAAAGAGATAAGCGGAAGAACGTAGGCAAGAGAAGCGGTATCGAAAGGACGTTGTTCGGAGGCAAAGCGCAAGCGGTACAGAATTCTTGTTACAAGTTGTCCGAGGGGCTCCAGTTCCATTTCAGCAGGGAGGTTTGTGTTGCCAATGGCTCGCAGGGTTGCGATACCCACGAAAGATCGCAGGTTTCCAAGGCGAGAGGACACCTCGTCGGCACAAGCGACGAACGCGCGGGAGACAACGTCACCGACAAAAAGACCTGCGCCAGCCTGGGCTTGTGCTAGCAAACAGCTGACGGCAGCATTGATCCATCCCTCGACATCGTTCAAGGGGCCAGATGCCAGACCCTTGATAAGACCTGCTCCTCTTTCAATGCGCTTGATTTCTTGTTGAACATCTTCGCGGATCTTCGCCTCCTTAGCGAGCTGGGCTTTAACCTTAGAGTGCTCCTCAGCCGTAAGCTTCTTCTGCTGTTGTCCTTTCTTTGCAGCCAATTGAGCTCGAAGCTCTTCTTCCCACTTCAGGGTATCATAATCCTTGGTGCTCTTATCGAAGGTGGGCTGTTTCGACTTGCTGCTAAGCACATCGACGAAGGCGGTTCCCTCCGGGGTGCGCGAAATGGCAGCATCTGTGGCAGTAAACTTGGAGAGGCGAGAGGCATCCAGATCGTCCTTGATCTGATCGACAAGACGCGGTATCATAGCATCGGGTGCAACAAATGCCAGATCCGCCGCGGCGCTCCAAATGGCAAGATTGACATCTGGTACCGCCGACTGCACGGGGTCTGCGTTGACGCCAACCAACTGCTCAATACATTTAGCAGGGTGAGTGCGGACAAGATCTCCTGGATCCGTGCCAGTCTTCAAGCACAAAGCAATCCACGAAGTGTTGGGGACCAACTCGGGCCGGCTCAAGACCAGAATCTCAATGAGCTGATTCTGGAGCTCAGTAGCGTCCACGGGCTTTTCTAGGCCAGTCGCAGATGGGCAAAGAGCCTTCAAAACCAAATGGAGATGGCGCACACTTTCGGGACCAGCGGAGACAGCTGCTGATTCCTTTTCGGAGATCCGGAAGGACAAGATCCAAGCCCAGAGTGCATTGATGACAATGCGACCAAAGGATGCCACATCAGTCAAGTAAACACGGGATAGAGTTTCCACAGCATTATCACGGAATTTCGAGGGAATGGTGGGCGCGGTAATGGTGTAGATGAAGGATTGGGCCCAAGCGGTCTTGGACGCATCTTCGAAACCAGAGAACTTGGATTCCGAGGCGACAGAGGCTAATGCCCTGACGAACCATTGAACCTCTTCTTTGGACCCTAGTTTGGAGTAAGCCTTAGGGTTAAGCAGGAAAGACGGCTTCGGGCTCAATGTCATCGACTGAGTCACATGTTCCTCCCAAGCGGATTTGTCTGACCCTTGAACGTCAGAGACCCGGTGGAAAAGAGCAAGGAAAAGGTAAGCAGATGACAAGGCACCGCTCTGGGCCGAGGGAAGCGGATTGGAAGCAACCTCGCTAAACATGTCCTTCATCTTAGCAAGGAACTTTGTGACAAGGGGCGCGATTTCAGCGCTCTTTAAAGCCTCAAGCTCAGACTTCCAAAGCACTTCTCCCACATTGAGTTGCCAAATCTTTCGGAATGGAACTCGCTTGTCAGAGATACCCTTGACAATAGTGTTGGTAACATCATCGCCGACTTTGACCGTAGATTGAACAAGGTAGGCAAGGTGCTTGCTGAAAGATTTAATCTCCTCCTCCAAAGCAGCCTCATTTGACTCGCGTGAGAAGACGAGGCCAAATCCTTGGGCAATCTCCTTCGAGACATCTACCGCAGGCGGAACAGCCGCAAGTGCCTGGGCGTAGGCCACACGGTGTTCAGGGGTGGTAACCTTGTTGGTTTTCAGAGGGCCAATTATTTCACCCGCGATTTTCACAGCCAAGGGTCCAGTCTTGCACCGGGTGAGCAAAGAACCAAAAGAGTCCGCTGCTCCTTGACGGATGGCCTGGTTGTTAGACTTCATGCTAGCCAAAAGGTGCTTTGAAAGGCGGGTTTGCACCAACTCTGAGAGATCAATCTCTTCTGGGAGGGATTCACAGAGAGACTGGATCACGCCGCCTAGGACCACCTCCGGTGCCCTCAGCATGGACTTCTCCATAGGGGGCATCAGCTCAGTGGCGATATCTTCATAGGTAACGAAGGACTCAAAGAAGTCTGACATGCCATTGGAGGCATGCTTGGGCACGGCGGTTTTTGCGCTCACGACTTCTTTGATATAAAAGGCGAGAATGTCCTTCTTGGTCTCATCGACAATCGATTTTCTATCCAGTAAGCGTGCACACACTCCACATACAACCCCGAGAAGGGGCGCATTTCTGTAAGCTGCGGTAGAATCAGCAGTCAGTCGGCCGACGGACTGGCGCACCGCATCGGCGCCCCATTTCTCAGATGAAAACACGGCGCGCAAAGCACGTCTTGTCACACGAATAGCCGACTGCTTGACCGCAGGCTTGGGATCATGAGCAAGACAATTCTCCAAAGCCTTGGCATCCACCGCAATCAAGTCCAGCACAATGTCCAGTGGTGTGTTCGAATCTTCGCTGGCCTGTTGCAGCAGGATGCAGCACCATTCCACCAGAACAAATGCAAATGTGGAAGCCAAACCAGGTCTGGCCGCCTCAATTTGCAATTTTTGAGTGAGAAATTTCAGGTGTTCGGTCGCATTGGGGTTGCGGAGGAGAGAGCGGAGGCATTGCTGAACCATCTGTCGGGAGGATCGATCGACATAGAGAGGATAAGTTCGGAAGAGCAGTTCCAGGATATCTTGATGGGTTTCCGGTGATAATTCAGACCCTAACAAATCGATCGTCAGTGAATTTTCTACCTAAAGCCACGGGTCACACTACCATTCCTGTCGCGGAGTTCTTGCAGGGCCCGGAGCCTGCGCGAGGTCGAACTCGACAAGAGTACGACCTGCAAGGCATCCAGATCCCCGGCCTTGACCTGGTCCCATGGAATACCATCCATGATCAGCGGTCAATACGGGGGAATGGAGAGAAGGGGGTGATTCAGAGAGTGTTGAAGTTGGTGAAGTGGGCTAGGAATGCTGTCATAAGAGTTTTGTGTGGGGAGCTGGATTCCATCCCGCCATTCAACAGCCATGACCGACAACGTCCTTTCTGATTCACCTCACGCTTTTTGTGAGTATTGTGCCGCCTGGATGTTTACATGAATGTAAATATCGAAGAATGACTTTAACTGACTTTAATCGTTCTTCCAGACCCGTTACCTCCGACGTAATTAGGCATGCCTCCGAACAATAAGAAAAAGAAGAAGCCCGCCTCCAACCCGGCTCGAGGCTTTGCCACGGTTTCTATGCCATCGAAACCCAAGCCTGAGACCACCGCAACCCCATCCCCGGCCACTGGAGAATCGAAAGCCACGCCAGAGAGCGAGCCGCAGACTGCACGCACCGAAGAGCGCCCAGCAGAGACCAGCGCACCACAGGCAGTGACATCATTGCAAAATTACACACCGGAGGAGTTAGAGAAGCATCTCGAAGAAGCCGAGCTTCAAATTCTCGTCGACAAGTACGCAGCAAAATGCAAAAACGATGCGATTCGCCAGGCTACGAAGCTGGATAATGAACGGCGCGTCATGCGACAGCAATCCGTGACATTGAGTCTCCTGGAATGGCTACCGACAGACGTTCAGGACAGAATTCTCGAACTATCTGGCACAGAAGAGCACGAATACCTCATAGCAAGTGGACGGATGACAGGTCCCAAACAAGCTGTTTCCGAGGAGGAATTATACAACAAGCTCTGGACATTGAAGGAGACGCTGATCAGACTCGACTTTCCGGAAAATAGAGTCGAGGACGCATTAAAGCATGTTTTGCAATATTTCGCTGGGAATTCGACCAGCGCCGGTCGCGATGTTGTGTGGAACTTGGATGAAGCGCTGGAATGGCTGGCCACACACAGTGATAAGAAAGAACTTCCCTCTTATACACGGACAAATGCTCGACAAAAGGACGCGGACAGTGTCACTTCATGGATGACCGGTAAACCCCTCGCAGGCTTCGGAGTATCCATGCGGACAATAAGCTGACCCTAATCAGAATCGAAGCCGTCAGGGTCTTCGACTCCTAATGGTCAAAGCAAGAACAAGCAAGGAGGCCAAAAAGCGGACTGGAAAGCAAACAAGGTTGCTCCTCCTGTTTCATACGACTCAGACAGCTCGGTCGACCCAGATGTCATGGTTCCTGAATGGTTAGGGTTGCAGACTCGACTTTACAGTCTTCAACCAGATATCTTCGATCGTCCTGGAAAGAGCAAGAAAGGCCGCGGGGGTGCTTCAAACCTGTCAGACGATCCAGAAGTCTCCAAGGTACAGCGTAAGATTGCGAAGATCGAGCGCGATGTTTTATTCGAAAAGCGAGAAGCAGAGTACCTTTGGGAAGAAAAGCTTGATGAGCTAAGAAAGGATGCGACATTCGTTCGGCGCCCGGTGGAAAGAAAGAAGAACCCCCCGGTCGAAGACGAAGAGCCTCAATCCGAGGTCAATGTAGACGCAGATATGGCTGCTCTACAGATCGATGGACTAGAGGATGCTCTCGGGGACATGTTCGCAGCTGAGCCTGAAGATTCGGGGTCTATATTGAATCTGCCCCCTCTTGAAGTCAACGCTCCAATTGCACTTCGCGACTTTGGGAAGCAGACAGGCTTAACCCCGCGGCGAATTTTGGAGGAAAGTTGCAAAGCAAGAGACTCATCCTGCACAGTTGTCTACCAGGACTTCTCTTCGTCTAGCCATTCCAACAGAAAGGCAGCTGAAGTGCGATGGTCGAAGCCCCAAGAGGTGCCATTTTCTCTAGCGGTGGAGTCGATTACTCACAAGTCTAATGCTATGGCAACTTTTGTTTCAATGGATGCCCTTGCAACACCGACTGCACAGCAAGCCGAGGGATACGTGTCAACCCTCCTTTTATTCATCTTGTTCCCCCAGAATTCCAAAGAGGGTAAGGCCTACCTGCGGTTGCCAGCGGTTTGGAGAGATCTCTGGGCCGAGTTTGCAACACTAAAGAAGATTCAAGAGGATGAAATCGACAAATCTATTGTCAAAGAACTGAAGCTTCTGATTCAAGAGAACCCGAGCAACTTCGAGGATGATGTCGTGCTCTCTGATAATTTCCGCAAGAGAAACGGCGTTGGCAGTAAGCCAGGCACCCCGGTAAGGGGCTCAGGGCGTGACAATTTCTCTGGTATCGATGATCAATTGAGAGACGCATGGATAGCAAAGTCCTCGACGCCATCGTTCCACCGGATGATGCAGGGTAGAATGAACCTACCAATCTGGGGCTTCAAGGAAGAGATCTTGCACACACTGGACACCCATCGTGCCTTGATCATTTGCAGTGAGACAGGAAGTGGAAAGAGTACTCAGATCCCGTCCTTCATTCTCGAACATGAGATGCTCAATGGCCGGCCCTGCAAGGTCTATGTGACTGAGCCCCGTCGTATCTCTGCCATCTCGCTTGCTCGCCGTGTTAGCGAAGAGCTTGGAGAGAGTAAGAACGACGTTGGAACGGCTCGCTCGCTTATTGGTTTCGCGGTTCGGTTGGAAAGCAAGTTTACTCACTCTACAAGATTGGTTTACGCAACCACCGGTGTGGTTGTGCGGATGCTCGAACGCCCTGATGACTTCCGAGATATCACTCACGTTGTTCTTGATGAGGTCCACGAGCGCACAATCGACAGTGACTTCCTGCTCATTGTGCTCCGGCGTCTCATGGAAAAGCGACCGGATTTGAAGCTGATCCTCATGTCGGCTACCCTCGAGGCGCAGCGATTTTCGAACTATCTTGGAGGTGTTCCGGTACTGAATATCCCAGGGCGAACCTTCCCTGTGGAACTGAAGTATTTGGAAGATGCGGTCGAAATGACCAATTACCGTCTTTCGGAGGAGGACCACCACACAGTTCTTGATGATGATATGGACGATCCACCGACAGATGCAGACACATCTGGAGGTCTTCAAGCCAGTCTTGATGGGTATTCCAGACAGACGAAGGAGACCATCTTAAACATTGATGAATATAAACTGGATTACGAGTTGATCAAGAGACTGCTTCTCAAGATTGCTACGGCCCCTGATATGGATCACTATAGCAAGGCCATCCTGGTCTTTATGCCCGGATTGGCGGAAATTCGTCGCTTGAATGATGAGATTTTATCCGAGCCAACCTTCCAGCGAAACTGGATTGTGCACGCGCTTCACTCATCTATCGCTAGTGAAGACCAAGAGAAGGCCTTCAATGTTCCTCCGGAGGGCACCAGGAAGATTGTGATCGCAACAAACATTGCAGAAACAGGTATCACAATCCCGGATATTACAGCCGTGGTCGACACAGGAAAGGAGAAGATGATGCGGTGAGACCTAGTCCCTTACATTTATGAAAATTCAAGCTCATTTTTCACAGATTCGACGAGAGACGTCAATTGTCTCGACTTGTCGAGTCATTCATCTCCCGTGCCAACGCTAAGCAGCGACGTGGTCGTGCTGGTCGTGTCCAGAATGGTATCTGCTTCCATCTGTTTACCAAACACCGCCATGAAAAGCTGGTATGTAGACATTTGAACCCCGAAAACGAGATTGTACTAACAAAGTACAGCTTGCCGAACAGCAAACTCCCGAACTGCTTCGACTCTCCTTGCAAGATCTGGTGCTCCGAGTGAAGATCTGCAAATTGGGAGAAGTTGAGCAAACACTCCTCGAAGCTCTCGACCCGCCATCATCGAAGAACATCCGACGTGCCATTGATTCTCTCAAGGAAGTCAAGGCGCTGACCAGTAACGAGAGTCTAACATCTCTCGGAACACAATTGGCCAAATTGCCGTTGGACGTCTTCCTGGGCAAGATGATCATCCACGGTGCCTTCTTCCGATGCTTGGATGCCACTGTCAGCATTGCTGCCATTCTCTCCTCCAAGTCACCATTCGTAAATACTATTGGATCCAATTCGCAGCGTGATGGGGCCCGGGTGTCTTTCCAAAAAGGTGTGTCCAAACATCTCTCAGTTTCGCATACAGTAACTGACATCTCCAGGTGACTCCGATCTCTTAACTGTGTACAATGCATACTGCAGCTGGAGACGCGTCCGAAGCACACCAGGCTCGAACGAGTTCGCCTTCTGCCGAAAGAACTTCCTCAGCCCGCAGACATTGCTCGGCATCGAGGATATCAAAATGCAGTTGGTAGTGGCAATTGCCGATGCAGGCCTGCTGACTTTGGATGCACCCCAAAAGGCAGCGCTCAACCGGTAAGACAAGTCCTTTCGTCCAATTCTTCATTCAAGCGACGATTGCTAACCATATCACTTATACAGCGCGCGCTCCAACAGCCGAAACCGCCAGTTCTTCACTATCTCAGAGGAGTTCGACCTCAATAGCAGCAATGATGTCGTGGTCAATTCTGTCATCGCCTGGAGTTTCTATCCGAAGCTTCTGACGCGCGAAGGCAAAGGCTGGCGCAACGTCGGAAATAACCAGACGGTGACATTGCACCCGACCTCGATCAACAAGCGAGCAGACTCGTCTGTGAAGTGGCTTTCGTACTACCATATCATGCAAGCGCGTAACCGAAACCTCAATGCGCACGATACCAGTGCGGTTGATGATTTCGCTATAGCCCTGCTGTGTGGCGATGCAGAGTTCAAGGTAAGCCCGCACCAATAATCCGTGACCCCAACTGTGGTTGTAGTCGCTCTTGGACAACGAGCTAACGTCTGTTGACAGCTATACTCGGGCGTCGTCTCCATCGATGCAAACCGCATTCGTTTCGCTCTGCGGGACTGGAAGTCCATGCTCGCATTGAAAATTCTTAACAGCCGTCTACGTGAAATTCTCTCCAACACTTTCCGCAATCCCCACCGTCCACTGTCTTATAAGCAGCAGCAGTGGATTGATATCTGGCAACAGATCTTTACTCAGGCTGGCAAGCGATGAATATAGTTAGCTTGGCCTGAGGTGATTATGCTCTGTGCTTTTGATGAGATATGCATGTAAAAAAATCATAATAGATATGGTTCGGTCGGATATGGATATAGAGGGTAAAATCAATGGACACATACTTTCTTTCAAATATATTCGACTGCATACTAAGAGTATTGGTTCTGTACTTCATCTTTGAAGGTTTGGGGAGATTTACTATCCGTCGTCTCATCTCACCTTCACAACTCGATATATATCTGACGGACTTACATTCATTTACTGGCACAGTTTGAAAAGAGAAAAGCGACTTTAAAACTGTACATCTGCTTGCTGTATATCTGAGGCAACACAGCGACCCAGGTATATCCCTGGCGATCCATCAGCAGGAACCATAGCATCCCTACATAAACCAAGGGAGACAGCATCAAACTGCATCAACCACGGCTTCTAGAAGCGCTCATATAGCACAGAGCACTGCAGATATGCCCGTACTTCTAGTCAATGCACTGACGCCGTCAGCACTGATCCGCCGTGCGTAAACCATTGCATTATTACCACATACATCGGTACGAAAGATCAAGATCAGATCAAAGCACAACTGCATAAGCAAGATATAAGCATAAACCACAAGCCAAAGCATAAAAATGACATCTACAGCCCGACTCGAGCATCCTACAACTCAAACCCCAGTGCAACATGAATTTGGAACAAGTAACAACCACCCTTTCCCACGGGAAATGATCGGTCAACCCATCTGCATCGAGCTCGATACCGCCATCCCAAGCCCCCAATCAAGGGATATCGATATCGATATACCGCTCCCAACCCGACACCTGCACCAGCACCGGCACACAACTTGCACGGATATCCCTTGATCAAGAACGAGCTGCAGATGCAGATCTTCAACCAGCGGTGTGTACGTATCTCCCGTTCCTCGTGCGAGAGAACCTTGAAGCCTATGCAGGTCTCTGCACAGGTACATCTACCTACATCATACATGTCTATCGCATCGTACAGTCCAGTAGCTGGCCTATCTCCATCCCCATCCCCAGCATTCCCCGATTCCCCAGCTAAACCCAGTCCAACCCGCAAAACCCGAAACTATGTTTTGATATTCTTCATTGGAATAAAGAAAATTGGTGGAAAGGTCTAAGACATCTCCCTGATAGCCGAGACAATACTCCCACCCACCCTCCTTAAACCCAAACCCAAACCCAAACTCATCTAGATCGGCATTGAATCTGCAGCTTGCTCCAAATCTATAGACATATTCTCCTTCGAGAATGTGGCAGTCTACTCTACAACCACGCGCAAATCGAGACACATTAAACGTTGTTACGAGTACAGTATATGTAAGTTACAATCCAATCTGAGACTGACACACGCCTCAACGAAGAACAACCCAGTATGGCAAAGTCCATCAGCCAGCAGCCCAGAAACGGCACTGCAATCGCACTCGGCAGCTTGGATCTAGTTTTAGATCTTGCTGTACTGTAGTGTAGTCCCGGCCGTAGGAATGGTTTCATCGTACATGATACATGATACAAACCCACCCTGCAGCCCGCCCCAGTCTGTCTATGTGCATGCATTCCTCGATCGACAACCGCTCATCGCTCACTGAAACAAGCTAAGCCAAGCTGAGGTGACCTCCCCGGGGTCCGGGTGGGAGCGCGCGCGTGGATGATAGACCGGGTGTATGCGGGCGTTAAGGTTGACATTCTGGAATGTTGAGATGGGGGAAGAAACGGTGAGCGGACCCCTCTTCTCCTACAGAATACACTGGACTCTAGACTGGTGATCTGAATTTGAATTGGATTGGATTGGATTATGTTGGGGTTGTTTCGCGCTTGAGCTCTGGCGTGGTTTCTCCTCTCGAGCCCTGGAGGTCCCTGCGCGGGCTTATCCAAGTGGGGAGTAGGTGTATTTCGCACATGATTACGGGAATATGGGACTATAGAAATCTGAGAATATAAAATAAAATATGAGTGAATTGAAGTTGAACATGACGTTTTACAAATGGTGGGGGAGGCCAGTTCATAGTGTGTTAGTATGTCGTACATGAGAACGTCTTATCTGAGATGTTTCAGGGCTATACCGGGCACACTAACACATTGGCGCAGTGGATTGCCACGCAGGGGGCAACTGGCGGTGAATCCGATCTAGCCCTTCCTACGTGGTCGTCACCATAGCCAGTCATTGTCGCGCCGGACCATCGATCGGCGGGCTGCTGCAGCCCAAGGCCAATCATCGGCAAAAGAGGCATAGTGAATGGGTTTTAGTCTCGTTACACATTTGGCCCGAGCGATCCTGGTTATTTCGGAGATATGAGAGCTTAGGGATTACTTGTCTCCAATGGCGGAATGACTCGATATTGTGGCGGTTGGGGACGGCTACGGCGGTTGAATTACTCGTCCCCCGAAGTCTTAGTGTTACATGTGTTGACCAAGTCTCAACCTTGAACGTGCAGTCGATCTCTTGGCTCCACGGGACAATGCAATGCGAGGTTAAATCCAGTTGCACGGCCCCCAAGGCCATCACGCCCGATCCTGGCGTGGTGCACTGTCATTCGTGAGTGAGGGCGTCTCGCTCGTACAAGGAAATTATCAGGGCGTCACATGAAGAGGCTAGCTTAATTGCCGTACAACACATCAGTTCAGCTCAGGGAACATCCCTGTCGACTCGGCCAATTTCTCCCCTCGTGTCCCTCAAAGGCCTTGTACCCATTGTGTCCCAAGTCTGACGGCCTTATCTGGCATCAACGTCCGCCCAGACGGCTTCGGGCATAACCTGTTGAGGTACAACATGGAGCATGGTCCGTGAGACATAGACTAGTACACTACACTACTGTAAGTAAGCACGTAGACAATAGAGAAACGCAATTTAATTAAATTAAATCTCGTCGGAAAGTCTGGAGTCTGCACGGACAGAGTCCGCTGCAGGGTAACTCGCTGCAAGGTACGGACGAACCCGTCGATCGAGCATAGTCAAGTGGAGGAAAACGCCTCTAATATTGCTCTCTCCGTATGTAACCTTTAAACCTATCCACCGGGCTGATTACGCGGGAAGCCTCGGGCGATCAGAAATAAAGGAGCTTTGGCGTTACATAGTATGTCGCCCCAGGACGAACCTTGGACTATCAGTCATATAATAGTATGGGATATAAGTTAATGGAAGAATTGCAAATGATCATCTCCTTGCATTTCGGGCTCAACGGCCTTTGTCCGATACATCACAAGTGCGGAGAGGGACGATGACTGTGTGGTGGGGCGTCGCTAGTTCGAGTGGACTCTCGCTTGATCTGGCTCACCCGGAGTACATTGCGGTCCGTGACTTGGGGATAAACCGAGTATTCTGCAGTTCGGAGAACATAGAAAGATAGAGAGAGAGAGACGCAAAAGCCACAACCGACGGTCTTCAAAACCTCCGTAGACTATTTCCCTTTCCAGAGCATAGGCGGATCCCCTGTACGCTGTATGTGCAGCGGGTATCGGGCCGTCGATAGCGACCTGCCATGGTGCAGGGATCTGTCGCCCCCTCTTTTCTACTTTTTCTACCGTTTCCGCTTTTTTTTTTGTTTTGGCTTTTCCTCTGTACCTGCTTTGCCCTAAGGCTTTGGGTTTGCCCTCTAGTATACCCGTTCGCAGATTCCATGCGTCTTTAGCTGCGTATAAACTACGTTTTTAACAGTGTAAGGAAAACCTAAGGGAAATAAAGGTGAATGCCATTGACAGTTGCTCCCCGTTTCTCCCCGACCCCGGTTCACCGACCTCTCAAGGGTCTGTGTGGCGGGCTCGACTCGAGACCGGCGCCACTCTGGAGAATCCACTTTGCGATAATCCCATGGGAAATAGGAAATTACAAAATCAAAAATTGGAGAATTGGAGAATTAGGCAAAGGAATTATGGTGGAATTCATACTATTCCTCAATAATAGCCAGGATTAACGATTTAGCCCTAGACCCATCTACGGTGGTCCATGCATGCGAACTGAAGCAATGACCATGGATTAGCTGTCACGGATGCGTGGAAAAGATGACATCTGTCACCTTGGAACTCTTTGTCCGAGATAGAGAATAATAGCTATGACAAAAAGCTAGAAATGTAAGGAGACTCTATGATTCCCCTTGGAAGAAATAAGCGGTGTACTGGGTCGAGCTGTCTTGACATCCGTCACTTTGCCCCTTGCTGGGATCTGGCTTCCTTTTTTTTTTTCCCTTTTTGTTGAGAGCTTTTGGGGAAAGAGACTAATTTGATTTTTACAATATTTGCTATGATTATTATCCTAACTATGCAGGATATTGGGTCACAGTGTAAGTCATCTGTCAAAGCCGATTTATCGGGCAATCCGATCTCCACATACATGTACAAAACAAAAGAAAAAAAGGAGTCTCTCATTGTCACGGGGTCTTCCAGGCCAGATTGTGATGCTACGTGTGAATCTCATTTCAATCCGGGCTAAAATTGGGTGGTTGGACAGGAATCCATTTTTCCTTTTTCCATTTCTATTTTCTATTTTCCAAATTATTTTTTGTTTAAATTTTTCCAAGCTTCCCAATTTCTCCTCTCTCTTTCGGTAAACGCCTGGACTCTGACTGGTGACAGGGATCCCTCAGAGAACAGACCCTTGATCGCCTCAAGCCACCCGTGTTTCGTGGTGCCCTCTGAGCCACTGATTTTCCCCTCTGCATCCCTAGGGTGTGACGAGCTTTCTCTGTTTCTTTTTGTCCCCCACCATTACTCACGGCCCGCCTGAATAGATCGTCCCGAACCATAGCCGTATTCTACTACTGTATACAATACAATTAATGAGTTGGTCCACTTAGGTCGGTTATAGCCGTAGACTCTGAAGCGACGGTGTTAAAAAAAACTTGTCTAGGGTCGACCGGTGTCGGCCTCTCTCAGTAATTATTCCGGAGAGGTTCGGCCGGTGTGTTCGGACCTTGCAGGCTAGAGAAGCGCTCGCAATCGACAGTGCAGCCGCCGCGCATTGCCGGGTTCAAGTTGTTTTGCACGATGAAAGAGATCTAGGCGAGACTACAATATACACGTTAACCATGGTAGCTGTCTCTCCCCGGCCATCATCCGTGGTTCACCGAGTGGGACCCGCGTGGATTCCCAAACATCAACTGTCATCAACATGTAAATAATTACATATATGATAATAAATAATAACTCATATTAATCGATCGATCCCCACTAACCTCCTCTAGATCCAGCGGGCCTATCCCGGCCGATCAGCGCAGTCACACAGACCAGGATGCCTAATCGGTATAGCCATGTTAACGCTGATCCGGAGAGTCCTTGCTTGGTGGCGTACAGTGAAAAAAAGAGAAAATAATAATTAGAAAAAAGACATCGAGTCTAGAGGATCAGTCTCCACTGTCCTCTCTCTCTCAAAAGACGGGGCGAGCCGGGATTTCTGCAGACTTCTTCTCTTCTTCTTAGACACCTTAGTCAGCTCTTTCGTTTTCCCTCCACTGATCGACTTTCCCGCTGCGGCTCAGCGTCATCTTCTCTTCTCTGTAAGTTTGTGTGTTTTCTGTTTTCTCTGTTTCCTCCTATTTTTATCCTCATCTTCATTTCTATCATCATTATTCTCATGTTTTGCCTTTTCTCAAACGCCTCTCCAGCCTGCAGCGCATAGGGATGCGTTTGCTGCACCACCCCAGCCTCCACCTTTCTGTACGTCTAACCGCGCACTTCCCTCCTCCCCCCTCCCCTCGACTTGTCTGAGACTTTGGCTTTTCTTTCCCCCTACCTTCCCGGCTTCGGCCTTATTTTTACCACTCTATGCGCTCCATTTCACATGTTCTTCTTCCATTTGCATGACCTGAAACGACCAACTTACGTGATCCCCTAGTTCCCTGGAGCTTCGACCTAGAGTATTCGACCTTCCGATGTGTTCGATTTCTCACGACTCTTAATGATATTGATGACACTTCTATGCTGAAGTCCCTTTTTGTCTATTTGACCCAAAAAAAGTCTATCTTGTGCTTTCCCTTCGGCCTCGAGTTTTGAAGGTGACGATTTACTACGCTTTCCCACGACTATTTGCCCCTGCATTGCGTCTTGCATCTTTGCTTTGACTGAAAGCCGATTGATACTTTGTTTGCATATCCGTGCAACATCCTCAGTTCCTGTGGTTTCCCCACGATTCTGCGCCGATCCCACTCATAGCACGCCGGACCTTTACCCACGTCCGACGTTCGCTTTATCTTCTGCTCTTTCAAACCGTTTCTTCGTGCAACCGAAAAGCTGGAGCTGCCGTCGATCTCGCAGGTCCACACCCGCGGTCCTGCTGACATCCCCTGGTACAACCCTCACGCGGCCGAACGACCGTTATTGTCCGGCGACAAACTCCCCGCTCTGAGCTTGCCGACAGCCACCCAGGGCATCTCCCGAACCGCCTATCAAGACCACAATTCTGCCAACTCCAGCGCCCGCACGAGTCTGTCTGGGGCTTCCATCCCGGTTAACGAGCCTAGGAGCCCTCCGCCCTCTGCGGACCTCTCTGGCACCCAGGGCCGATTATCACTGGACTCCTCTGCCGCGACGGAATATAGTCTTCCGCCCTCGGTCAACGACGGATACTACCCCAGCCCGACTTCTCTCGGCAGCATGAACCAAGCCCAGCCGTATATGGATGTTCACTCACACATGTCCTCTGCTCAATCATACGCTCCCCAAGGTACAACCGCTGGCGCCATGTCCCATTATCAGTACCCCCAGCAACCTCCAGTTATGCAGCCCTCTGCCTCTTACGCCCCCGTCTCCTACCCCCAGTATGGCTACCACACCGGGGCCACATCTCCACCAACAGGACAGCCTCCGAGCTCTATGGGTGGCCAGATGCCCGCCCAGTTGCTGCCCTTGCCTGGTAAGCTCCAAAGCATAAGCGGGGTCGATGATTATTCTGATCGTTATCAAGTGAACAATCACGGCGTGGCACCTGCGGGTGGTTATGGGAACAACACGGGCGCTCCCCTTCAGGGATTTGTCTTTGACCCTACCGGTCAAGTGGCACCCCCGGGAGCGAAGCCGCGAGTGACGGCTACTCTGTGGGAAGACGAAGGAAGCCTCTGCTACCAGGTGGAAGCGAAGGGAGTCTGCGTGGCTCGACGTGAGGGTGAGTTTAACATGATCATCAATTGAAAGAATTTGGCTGACTCGATTGCAGATAACCACATGATCAACGGCACAAAGCTGCTAAATGTGGCTGGCATGACCCGTGGTCGACGTGATGGGATTTTGAAGAGCGAGAAGCTCCGCCACGTTGTGAAGATTGGACCAATGCATCTGAAGGGTGTCTGGTATGAATTTTGAAACTTAACATGGTAAATCAAACCACTAACGATTCTCACAGGATTCCATTCGAGCGTGCTTTGGAATTTGCGAACAAGGAGAAGATCACTGATCTCTTGTACCCGCTCTTTGTGCACAACATCGGTGGCCTGCTGTACCACCCAGCCAACCAGACTCGCACTAACATGGTGGTGCAAGAGTCACAGCAGCGGCGCATGGAAGGCCCACCACCGGGCCCCCAGCGCACGCCCTCTGGGCCTCAGCAACCTCCCAATCTTCACCACCATCACTCCCTGCAGACCCCCATGTCTTCTCACATGTCGCAAGCCCCAATGTCCGGGCAGCCGGGGTCCCGCCCAGGTCTTGACCGGGCCAACACTTTCCCCACCCCCCCAGCTAGCGCATCCAGCGTGATGGGAGTGACAAACCAAGGTAGTTCGTACGAATGGGGTGGCCAGGCCATAAACTCTAGTGTGCCGCACACTCAGCCCCTGTCAATTGACACTACGCTGAGCAACCAGCGCTCCATGCCCACCACGCCGGCGACGACACCCCCCGGCCATAACATGCAGCACGGCCTTGCCTCTTACCAAGGCCAGCCGGGTTACGACAGTAAGCCTTACTATTCGGCTGCTCCCCAGTCCCAATCTCAATACGCCCCACACACGCCATTGACCCAGTCAGGGATGCCCAGCTACGGCCAGTCTCTGCCGGGCAGCTACATGAAGAACGATATGGCTCCACCCAATCCCAGAGCCCCTGGTGCGGCTGACCCGGAGAGCACAGAACGCCAGCCGGAGCATTACTCGCGGAGTAACGGTGCGCCCGGCGACTCTGTCCCAGAGCATGAACAGGAGTACCTGCAGGACCACAACAGTGGCTATAACTCCAACCGGAACTCCTACACCTACACCACCAACCCCTCCGTCACTTCATTGACTGGCGAGCACTCGCAGCTCACCCCGGAGATGACCAGCTCGCCTTCACAGCAGAATGGGTCGGGTCGCATGACTCCTCGCACAGGTGGTGCGCCTCCCCACTGGGCCTCCGGGTATAACACTCCTCCCCGCCCTGCCGCTGCCACGACTCTGTACAACGCCGTCAGCGACACCCGCGGTACTCCCGCGAACGGTGCGTCAGACCCGTACTCCATGGCGTCCTCCTCGACGCCAGTCTACTCGACTGTCAATGGATCCATCGGCTCGGGCAGCAAGCGCATGCGCGAGGATGACGATGTCATCCGCCCCGACACTGGTGCAGAGTACGAGACCAAGCGCCGCAAGACAATCACTGATAGTACAATTGGTGGTCCAGTCGGCGGTGCTCCAATCCTACAGCCCATGAAGACGAGCGGAGTCATGGCTCGCCATCGCTGAAAGGCGTCGGTGACATCCACAGCCTTTTATGATTGTGTGAGCTCTTAGCTATCTTTTGTTTGGTCATTGTTCGTTTTTCATGGTTTTGTTTATTGTTTTGTTGGTCCATTTCTCGGTCGGAGTTTTTCATGATAGACTGCGCATGCTCCACACACCCGCGGTGGCGTCGCGGACTCTCTTCTCTCAAAGTGTCCCTTACCACACTCCCACATTCCCCCAATGCATGATGACACCTCAGGGCTTGTAATCCTGTTGATTTCGAAACGAAACGAAGCTCATTTGTTGTCTGTGTTTTCTGTTCCTGTCTCTGTTTGCGTTCTGTTTCATGTTTCAGGGAAAGAATATCTCGGGTTTGGCTTTGAGAACAATGATCCTGTGTGGTACGAGGCGCTGATCTGAAACTGATATATTCTCACATGGCAATTTGGCATTTCAACTTGAGCCTTTTGTTTGTTGGAATGGGTTCAGATCCGCCCGGCCTTGATGACTATGATGTGACGAATTTCTTATGAACGAATTTTCTATGTGTAACGGGGCCATTCATTTAATTGCTTTGACTCGTTTGTTTTTTTCTTGGATTTCCTATTCATTTGTTTTGTTGGGTTGAAAAGGATACTGTGGCATGGGCTTTTTCTTTTTTTGCGCCCTCCTCCACCAACCCCTAACTCTTTAGAGAGATGATTATCATGCTAATGAACGGTTATGAACTCTTGGTCTGCATGTCTTAGCGACATACAGCGTTGGTTTTTGGTTCAGTCGAATTCATTGATATTCTCCACCTTTTGTAGTGCCCTAGTAGTCTGTAGCCTACTGTACAATGTAGATCGCAGTAGACCAAAGATAGATCCCCCCACTCAACTTAGACATCGAGTTACAAGTAAATGTCAATCCCAAGCTCCGAAGCCTCCAAGCCACCCAAACCAAGCAAAAATCGGGGAATGCTCCCCTTCCAATCCTGCCACTCCTCCGCCCCCAAACGAAGATGTATACCCGTCAGCGGGAAGGGGGAATACTTCCCCCTTCAACATAAGAAACATAAAAAAGGTTTATACCTGGCGCCCTCAACATCCCAACATCTTAGACCATATGCCCAGATACCTCTTCTCCAGATCCACCACTTCTATCCATCCACTCCCTGTCCCGGAATTGGTCAGTATTTGTGAATCTGGGGTTGAGTCTGGGGTAGCCGCATGGTTGATTCGTCCTAATCTCTTCATGGCTTATGATATTTGGCCTTTCTGAGGCTTTACTGACTGAGGTGTGAGGCGATGAGGTGAGGGGGTTATCGCGGGTTTCTTTTCGTTCTTGGGTTCTTCGGTGTGTATAAAGATGGGCATGGGACGAGTCATCTTGTTGCTTTTGTCTATTACGACAGGAACTTGTCATCTCATCTCATCTCTTTTTCTGGGCTTCTTCTTTTGATACTGATATCGATTTCAGATCTTTGATCAGTATCTACTCACTATGGATTCCAAACTTGATCGTCATCTCTTGATGATAACAAGGCTGATATCATCCATGAAGAACTGGCAAGGCTCGAAGAACTGGATGACTCGATTGAAGAAACTGACCCAGGCTGGGCTGTCTGGTTGATTGCCTGTACAGTATCGATGGGAGGGTTTTTATTCGGTATGTACACATCCAGGTCATTCCCCCTATAACATCCAAATCTAACACAGAAAAGAGGCTACGACACAGGCGTAATCTCCGCCGTCCTCGTAAACCTAAACAAAGATCTAGGCAACATTCTCAGCAGCAAAGAAACAGAATTGATAATCTGTTTGTTGCTTTTGGCCAGCTTGTTTCTTATGCCCTTGGAGCGGGTTTCACGCCTGTTGCGAATGGGTGGCGGTATATGGTTGCGCTTGGGGCTGTGCCGGCTATCTTTTTGGCGGTGCTTATGCCTAGGTGTCCCGAGTCATCTAGGCAGCTGGTTTCTCATGGGCGGTTTGAGGAGGCGGGCAGGGCTTTGGGGAAGATTTTCCTAATGCCAGTGAGGCGCAGGTTGCTCGTAAGATTCGGCTTATTGAAGCTGCTATTGAGGAGGGGGTGTTTCTATTTCGGAGAGGAGTTTGAAGTGGCAGTTTGGGAAGCTGTTCCTTGTTCCTGCTAACCGGGGGGCGCTTATCACGGCTTGTATGGTTATGGCTGGTGAGTTTAGTTCTTGGTGGATGGGGTTGGTGTGTTGTGCTAACTTGGTTGTTCTTTTAGTCTCTCGGCTTGGTGGTTTCAATACACTCATGTACTACTCGAGCACGCTCTTCTCAATGGTTGGCTTCGATAAACCTGTTGCGGTATCTATTGTTGTTGGAGGTACAAACTTCCTCTTTGGATTTGTCAATTCCGCAGTGATTGACAGATTCGGACGAGTCATTCTGATTGTCACCGTTCTCGGCATGGTTAGTAGCATAGCCATGTGCTCATATGAACACATTCTAAATATCCTTTTCTTCTTTAGTCCCTCTCGCTGGTAGTAACAGCAATCGGCTTCCACTGGATCCCAGTAACACACATGGACTCAGCATCAACAACAACCGCAGGCTCCGAATCCTGGGCAACAATCTTACTCCTAGTAACAATCATCCTCTACGTGGCCTTTTTCGCCGCAGGCGTCGCGCCAGTAGCATGGGTTGGCACGGAGCTTCTCCTACTTGAAGTGCGCGCACTGGGTACAAGGTCAATTCTGTGATTTGCTGGGGATGCAATTTGATCATCTCGAGTACGTTCTTGTCTATGATGAAAGCGATGACACCGAGTGGGACCTTTGCGTTTTACACGGGTATTTGCTTTGTTGGCTGGCTCTTTCTTCCGGCGTGTTATGCCGAAGTGCATGGTATGCCGCTTGAGGATGTTAGTGTTGTCTTTGAGAAAGGGTTCGGGGTCAAAGAGGCGAAGATTTTGCAGAAACAGATTAAGGAAAGGAAGAGGGCTGAAGTTAGGCAAGAGGGGGTGTTGTAGATGAGTGTACAGTGGTGTAACAAAAGTATTTGACCTCCGGTACTTGGGCCCCTGACCGCCGTTGTAGACCGCCTACTATTTTAGACCATGAAACCTCGCGTTCATCAACACGCTAGTATACACGCTATATATCAACGCGTTTTAATGCAATTCTCGCAATTTTCTCATTAATTATGCCTCCTATACGTGGGAAGAGAGGCCCAGAGCTTGACTGCCTTACTAGGGCCAAAATCTGCGAATTACATACTACAAACGGCTGGGGTGCGACTACTATTAAGAAGATGCGCTTTCCCGACATTCCACGCTCAACTATTCAATATACCCTTACCCAAGAGGCAAAGCGTCAAAAACAGCAAAGCCTTCCACGCTCAGGCACCCCGAGGAAGCTTACTGGAGAGGATCGTGACCATATCTACGATACTATACAAGAAAATCCTTCAATATTGATCGAAGATCTACTTAAAGAGATCGATTTTAAGGTCCACCGCCAGTCAATTTGGCGTCTTACCCATGAAATGGGTCTTCGAAAATGGAGGAAAATGCAGCGGCCTTCTTTAACGCCTTTACACGCTGAAAAACGCCTAAATTGGGCCTAAAATATCAGCACTTTACGTCTGCAGATTGGGCCCGTGTCTATTGGTCTGACGAATGTACAATTGAACGTGGTATTGGACAGCGTCAAGAATGGACCTTTACACGTCCGAAAGACCAGCTTTTTCAGCATCACGAAGAAGGACATCAAGTACAAATGGTTCCGGCACGCGGGAAGCAAATTAAGCAGATGTTTTGGGCTGCTTTTTGTGGTTTACCGCTTCGTTCTGGCCTAATTCCACTATTCGGAGATCCGCAGTCTCGTCGCGGAGGCGTATCTTCACGCACAATTGAAGAGCTTTATCGGCGTATCCTACCTACGCTACTTAATAGTATTGATCAAAATGCTATTTTTCAGCAAGATAACGCGCCTGTACATACTGCATATATCGTACGGGACGCTCTTAATGAGATTGAATGTGAAATCATGGAATGGCCACCTTATTCACCTGATTTAAATCCTATTGAGAACCTATGGGCGCTGCTGAAAGCTGAAATATTGAAGCGTCACCCTGAGCTTATGCACCTACCAAATAACGAAGCTACGCTAGAATTACTAGTAAATGCTGCGCAAGAAGCATGGGAAACGCTAGATATTGAGATATTTCAGCATCTCTCCGAGACTATGCCACATAGGGTGGCTGATGTTATTAAGTATGATGGCTGGCATACTAGCTATTAAATTGAATTGAATTCCTGAGGTTTCTGCCAGGCAGTATTAAAAAGTGGGTCCAGGGGCCCGAAGTACCGGAGGTCAAATACTTTTGTTACACCACTGAGATTGTTACAGTAGGAGTTGAAATCAGATTCCCCTCTAGACACACACGCGTTGTTTCTCGGTTCGTATCCGAAACCACGCTATTCTGTATGTAGGCAGCCCTGGTAAGTAATCATTTTCTAAAAATACATTCTTTTAATACTAGGACGACTGTATTACGTATATCATTGTAAGGTACCCGAAACTCTAATACACCTCTATAACTTATGTTCGAGGACTTTATCGACTAGCTTCTTCGATACTGCGGAAGATGTCCTTAGCCAAAATCCGTCTTGGTTATGGATAATGTATTATTCTACCACGCTAGACGTATTGCGCAGATGTGTGCTAATGCTTGAGTCTAATTGGTTTATTTACCTCCTTATTCGCCGGACCTCAACCTAATTGAAGAGATTTTCGCCGAGCTCAAGAGCTTCACTAGGCGTAACCAGAGCCATTTTGAAGAAGACTATGATCAAAGATTTGATTCTTTTCGTGAATGGTGTATAAATAAGGTCGGTGCAAGAAAGGAGAGTGCTAGAGGCATGATAGTGGACTTTGGCGGATTACTTACATCCTGACCCCTGGCATACCGAGTGAGGATCTCATATTCATATTGATATTCCGCGATCATCATCATTTACTTATCAGAGGGTTCGCCATGAGCGCTGAAGAATTCCTCGCTGACGTCGAAGGCGGCGTGGTGCCGGTGGACTGCCACGAGAAAGTGCTGCGGATAGCATTCATCTATATGGACGAGGGGCTGTGGCTCGGCAGCGGCGTCTTTGATGTTGTCGAGAAGCTGCACGCGCGTGGATGGTCGTTCGGCGAGGGCGAGTTGAGGTTTAATCGGTAAGTTCCAATAGCACTGTACTACGAGTACAAAGACTGAAAATCACAGCACCCTGGATATATTCTACCTCGCCCAGCTCGCAGCGGCCATCTACCGCTCCACCGACCAACTTGAGGGTGACTTCCTCTCCCCTGATGATTTCCAGTCCTTCTACACCACACACCACGCACTCCTCCACTCCTCCGCATGGCGCTCTTATTACTCTACTGCCTTCCTTACCCAGCGCACCACAGCGCGCTTCCACCGCCTGCCTGACCTCCAAGACCTACCTGACTCTGACTCCCCGCTGGGGCTGCCGCGCCTGCGACCCCCCGCACACGCCACGAAACTCCCCCGCTGGGCCCACAACGTCGCGCGCACGCGCCGCAGGCAGCCCTCACTCCTGCTCGCGACTCTCACTGGATTAGCCCTCAGCACGCTCGAGACGACCATCACGCGCCTACGCATGGCCCGCAGCAGCGTGCCGCCCTACTCGGAGACGCAAGCGCGCTTCTGGCTTGAGTACATGGGGCTCGGTTCCCCTAGCTGATCTGGCTCAGCCAAGGCAGTTTCCCGGGAAGCGTGGGAGCCGAACATCTTCGGGATACTGGTCGCGCAGGGAGCGTATGATATGTACGCGTGGGAAGCAAAGTACTCGGCGCAGCTGTGGGAGGTGAGTGCGGCGAGGAGGGAGGTTGCTGAGCCGGATGTGGATGGCGTGTGGGAAAGTGAGGTGATGTGGTGTGGGTGGCCGGATGGTGGGGTGGGGTCGCAAGCATGGTGGAGGGGGTGGGAGGGAGAGGTTGGGAGTGAGGAGGAGGTGGAGTTTTTGGCTGCTGTTGCAGTGGAGGAGACGGTGGGGGTGAAGGCGGAGGTGGGTGAGTTGGACTTTGCAGTGCGGTCACATATGTTGCTTGGGGTGATGCGGGCTGCGGTTGAGGGGGGGCGGGAGAGGGATGTTTTTCTGGAGGAACTGGAGAGGGGGATGGTAGGGACAGGGAGGATTCAGGAGGGCAGGGCAGGGAGGTGGCTGAGGGAGGTCTTGGGGGTCGTGGAGCCATATGTGAGGATATGGGAGGGTGTGTGGCCTGCTATAGAGGTGGAGAGGGGGGAGGTACTACGGCGGATCTTGCTGGAGAATGGGCAGCTCTTTGCAAGGTGGAAGCTTTCGCCGGTTTTGAAGGAGTTCAGTTTTGAGCTGGGTCCGAGGGAGTAGGAGTGGCAGGCATGCGTCTATTCAGATATTCAGGTCAATGGTGAGGACTGTGCTAGACTGAAGTTGTCTATTCTGGTATGCCTATGGCGCAGGTGGTGTGAGTAACTCAAGGGAATACAGTAAGTCGAAAAACTGGTGCGACCTACACTCTTCGATTGATACTCCAACCCTAATGCCAAGACATGCTGATCCCCATTAAAGATTTTATCCGAAATACCCCGGTGATATGTGTAGTGTATCTCTTTACTTACAATATATTTTTAACCACGCAACTCCTTGTAACTTCTATACATCTGACACCTCCATAACCCCCCCACCTTCAAACTAACTTCCCCATGGACGGCGTATTGTCGCCAAACTTAATCTCTTCTAAGCATGAGCTTATTTATGACATGATCCACAGTGGGGAGCTATTCGTATCGCAGATGATAAAGGCTGCTAGGTGCAATAGGAGCACAGTGCTAAGGATCTCTTCCAATATACGGATGTTTGACAGCGTCAAAGCACCGCCTAGTAAAGGTCGCCGATCAAGGGACATCACTCCAGTTATGCTAGAACCCTTTCTCGCACTTCCTTCGTTTCAGGAATCACTTGGCAGTAACAAATGAGTCATTTTTATTTCCGTCAGGAAGAATGGGTTCCTTACGACCTAGTACAATGCCAAGATCTGCAGCCCGCGTCGAGTACGAGCTTATGCAGCGCAGCAGTACCCGATTTGAGTCTACCCAAACATCTATTACTGTCCTCTCCCCTCAACTAAATATCAAGCAAACCCCCCTTTTTACCCTTATTTTTCTATCTTCCATTGCTCGCTCCTCTAAGACCCTACCTTCAAAATCCATTAACACAATCCCATCGAACATTACACAATGGTCCGTTTCTGCAACTCGCACCAACTTGTATTTGATTCAGTAGGCTAACAAACTCCCTAGAACCAAGTTTCTGATGTTGGACCCTGCCACGTCCATAACAGAATGCGATTGAGGAAGCCACACCTTAAAGACAACCTCCCAACCCAGCTATGTCTTCTATGTAATCGGGCTTTCTGCGTTGACCATAAGGGGAAGGAGGACGGTGTCTGTGAGATCAATCATGAGACATACTATCGTAATCATCCGGCGGCCCAGGAGTCCTTGTATCGGACGTATGAGGACTGGAAGAGAGATGGTGAGCAGCTGATGGTTGATGAGGCGTCGGGCAATGAGGGGGAGGTGGCAGGGGGTAAAACTAGGGAAAACTAGCGAGTCCTTGGGCAGACATTCCACATATGGCTCGCCCAAAGAGCCATGAATTTGACATGATCTTTGGGTAGGTATCAGAGAACTATTGAAGTACAGCATTACTCCCAATAAACATGGATAACGATCGCCACTATAACATCTAGACTAAATTACCTAAATTACTTCGTTGAAGGGTTGTAGGTAACTCCTCGCAAGACAGATAATGCAAGTGAGGAGTCTAGTATCATCATTGCGGGTTAGCTTCTACCGATAGCTATCACAGAGCGTAAAGTAAAGAGAGCTCTAGCTGATAGGCTGAGTCTTATGATAAGCAGGTTCACGAGTAGTCTACAGGTATAGTAAGCAATATAATATAGTCACTATTTGCAATGTCCGGCACGGAGTAATCCCCCAGATTTTCACTTGGACATAGGAAGTGGCAGAAGAGAGTGACCTTACCAGATTCTCGAGGCCCTCCCAGATCTGGGGCTTGAGTTGTTTGCAGTCCTATGGAAAATTCTAGTTCTTGGATCGCCAATTCAATTACAAGACAGAGCAACGTATTATAATTAGAGTAAGTCACTGTATTAATACTGTTTTTCAGAGGCGGGCAATCTCGCCTAATGTTTGGGGCCGTGGGAGGGCTGAGGACCAACATCGTTCGTGGTGTAAAATTGACATGAAAGAGATGTTTCCGGCATATTGTTCAGCCAGTCAAATTACGGTTGCCAGGCCTCACGCGATGAAGCCTCATATCAAATATGCGCCGAAAGACGACTAAAGCCTCTAATTAGGTCTTCGAATAGCCATATAGCAATGTACTCGGTGGAGAACCTGCCACGCCCCAAAGGACCAAGTCAGATATTCTAAAATACCTCTAACATATGGATAATCTAATAGCTTCAACTTGGGCCTTGAGGTTATCTAAACGTATAAGCTCGCTCCCAAGTTTCATGATTGTGGGATTATTGGACATTCAGTGCTGATGTGGAGATACGCAGGGACAGTCGTGAAAGAAATCCAAGTAAACAAAAACTTCCAGTAAAAGACAAAAGATTTATCAAATCATGCCTCGATGGATGATCCCTATTCAACAGTATTTTTTATTTCTTTGTTCGTCAATTCCGTTCCCCATACCAAGATCCAGTGCACAGTTCTGGCTTTCAAGACAGTAGAGTCTCTGAATGGAGCTTCGCACATTTGGATTCGACTGAAAGAAAATATACTTGAGCTTCAACCTGAAAGGAAAAGACCGCAACCAGTCTTTCAAGGGCCACATACCTTGAACTTGGATCAACCTTCTTTGTTGCATATGCTTTCTCAAAGAAATCCCAACAGCTCCACAGTCCACTTGATCATATTCTTGTCGTTTCATACTAGTGCTTATAGCAAGTTCTCATGTTTCTTGAGAGCTCTCTAGCTTTTCCTACAAGTATCTCTGTGATCTCTCATCATGCTAACATTCGTCTCGTTCCTCGCTCAAGTATAAACACTCTTCTTGAATTGAAGCTTAGGCTTCATTTAGAATTGGCTTCACAATGCCACCACACCGCAATGTACTCGCAAGGCAGCACAACACTCGTGGAAGCGTATCGACTCAAGGTACAGATAATACAGGTGATCCCATGGATATCTCAGCCTCGGCATCAGAAAGGCAATACCCAGGAAAAAGAGGAGCGACCACACCCTCTAGGGATATGCCACCTCCCAAGAGGACGAAAGCAACCGAGGAAAGAGAACCCAACTATGGTATTGGCGGCAGCCCGAATGATCCCACTTTCCGCAGAGCTCTCAGAGTCAAGGATTTAGATCTTCACAAATCCTATGTAAAGGAGTTCAAACGGGCAGCCGAAGCACAAAAAAAGCATAAAGGCCCGCGGCAACATTTCGAATACGATGGGCCAAAGCCTATGGCTGATATTACGCTTCTTCCAGATGATTGGAACTCCAACGAGCCCGACCTCGACGATGAGTAAGTTTTGATCGATGCCGAGCTCATATTCCGACATGAACTAACCGGGTTAATATAGAGACTGGGATGCTCAAATCAAAAGATGCAAGGAGAGAATTGAGGAAGGACTCATGACCCATGCCTATGAAGCCAAGCTCAAAGGGTTCGAGGAAGCTAAGGCTCGTGAAGCGTGAGTCTCCATACTCTTATCTTTCATTATAGCCACTAAAAAAGGACATAGCGCACTGATCAAATCAGTGGTGGGAGATAGCAATGAGCTATACAGTATGGCTGTTATCAAAAGACTGGCCACTCTCATGGAAATACAAGAGGATCTTGAGAACAAGGAGGACAAGACCAAGACCAAGACCGATCAGATTCCTAATGTGAAGGCCTTGGTGAAAGCCTATAGGAGTCATGAATTGGAATGGCACGAGGGACTGATTACTTATTGGTCTCAGGGGAAGAAACTATGCGAGCCAAGGCCATTTGATTGGGATGAGTTTGAGGCGGTAAATGACAAATACGAAGGCCACAAGGGCTTCTGGGTAGAAGGCTCGGACGTAGGTTTTCCCTAATCAAGGCCAGAAAATTTGAAGCTCAGTGTTTTTTTTTACTAGGTTGAAGCTGCTGGTACTAAGGAGGTCAATGCAATTATTTCATTCACACCTCGAGGCCCTGGACAGCTTTATTATGTAAGTTGGCCGGTTTTGCCTGCCCTTTTATCGCAATGCGACCCTTTATGCCAATGCTTACATTTTGATAGTACAAGGTTGCCTGCCGCTTTCCAAATTTCGCCTGGTGGCATGAGCTAGAGTTCATGTGGGACACCGGTTCCTCGCTGATGACCATGTATGAAGGCGATATTCGATCGCTTATGGGACCACAGATTGCTCCACAGGGCTATATTCCCGGAATACATCTATACCATGGTCCTCGAGTGCTTGGTGTCATTCAGGCCGCGGCTTACGGCGGTAATGCAATTAGCTTCGAGATGATTGAGATCGAGGTTTGCTTATTGGACGACCACCGAAAGAGAATGACACCATGGATCAGGAGATCAGTGGGTATTATGATGGGCTTACCTCCAGTCCCCGGCACTGGCGGATCGCCCAGGCTCGACGACAATTGGCTTCGGCATTGCGTGTACGTAGGCACTGCACCAGAGGTCTCTCAGGCACTGAGATTTGCTACCAGTCCCGGTGCGCTACATCTTCCAAACAGGGGAACTTGTATGGCTAATATACCACCCATGCCGAACTGGGTGCCGCCATTACAACCACTGTGGCGGACTCATATCCCTCCGCTCACAGCGGCGGTGCCGATGCCGCCAGGGCCTACGTGGCCCGAAGAGCCACCGAATATGCCACGGGCAGCACCGGGTGTCCCGTGAGAGATCCTGTGTTATATATACATTTGTATATGTATCATTCTCTTTCTTTGTTCTGCTTCTCATTCTTTCTTCTTTTTTTTGGTTGTTGCGCTGCTTCACTGATGTTTGTGACCATGGCCACGATGCCCTGCCAAATGATAAATCTCGGATATATATTGAATAAACAGACTCAGACCAAGTACAATTGAACCTAGTATGCCATTCTCTAGCAGTAAACACTCAACCTCGTACATACCTCAAGCCACGTGATCAGCACTACCCTAACCCAAAACGGCAAAACCAAAATACGCCTCAACCACGGTTCCATCGGCTGAACGTCATCGCAATATTTCAATTTTAAACCAGGGGCAACTCCAGCCCCATGCCATCCCCGACAGCCCTCAATACATCATGCCAAACGACCCAGCAAAACGGCCTGGGAAGCCAGCCGTTGAACCCAGCAACTACCTTATCTTTGATCCCTGGCAATCGGCTTCGACGGGCCACCAGATCGCAGACGCGGGCTGCACAACCCATGGTGTTGATTGGAGGAATACGCGCTCCACAAAGCTATCCCAACAATATAAACATGGAGATTGCATACCGGGACGGGGACAAACGCAGCTCCCAAGGGATGCAACGTCCACAGAGCCGACACTCGTGCCGGGTGCATTCAATGGCCAGACACACACAGAATCTCCACCGAGAACTAGTGGAGAGTGGGCTTGGGTGACGGAGGATGTAGCGAAGAAAAACCAAGCTGGCCTTCGCGATATCCGCAGTTTTATGGGCATTGGTAAGAGAAAGGCTGCTGACGAGCCCCGGGAGGTCAAGATGGATAAAACGGTACGGTACATCGAGAAAGAGAACCAGACTCAAGACCAAAGGCAGAAGGTGGACAGCCTCAAGCCAGACTCAGAGTCTGGCTCTTGTACTGGTGAGTCCAATCTCACTTTAAAAGCCAAATCGAACATCTTCGCCGGAGTCAGGATCTACATCAACGGATCGACACTTCCCCACATCTCCGACCACAAGTTAAAGCAGCTGCTCACTGCCCACGGCGCCAATTATGCCATCTACATGGCTCGAAAGACGGTTACTCACGTTCTGGTGGGCCGGCCCAGCGCCGTAGGCTCTGGTGCTGGAGGTGGTCTTTCTGCAAGCAAACTCCAACAAGAGATTGCGCGCGGTGGGTGGAAAGGTGTGAAGGTCGTTAATGTTGACTGGTATGCGCTGATTCTATTCTATGTAATTGGAATCACTTTTCTAACATGCTTGTATAGGGCCCTTGAGAGTATCAAAGCAGGTCGTCGACTTGCTGAGTCTCGGTTTCCTGGTATGCATGTTGCGGCGAAGGGGCAGCGGAGTGTTGCTGGCATGTTTGGGGCTCAGGCTCAGTCTGGTCAGTCCGGGGCGAAGAAGTGAATTGATCTAGCGAGTTGTTTCTTTTATTGCATACGTGTGTCACAACACGGCATCAGCGGCGGTTTGGATTGACATGCTGAAGTTTCGGCCTGTGCTTGTGATACCCAATGATCATTATGTTCTTTTCGTCTCAGTCAATCAATATTGCATATCGAACCCAATCTACCGAAGTACCTTGCTACGGTTTACTATGAAAACCGTAGTTGTCTGAGGATCATTCGTATTCTTTAGTTGATCATGTATCACCATTATCATGACATCCGTATAGTTATATACACTCATAGACAAGCACAATAATACACACCCGTTACTCAAAACCGGGCCAGACCCAAAACATAGAATCACAGTGCCAAGAACTAACAGACGTAAAAGGAAGAACCAAATGAATCAACGCCGCAGCTATGCAATACATCAAAAACGAGATATATGTAAAGACATCATAGATCATAGATCATGAATGGCGATTCGCCCGTGCCAAAGAGCCTTATTTCAAGGCGTCAGCTCCCCTTCTTCCATCGCTATGACTCACGACATATGTCTCCGCCAACCACTCTGCTGACGAGTCGGGAGATGGTCGTCGACGTTACTTTCCGCATCGCCAGAGACGGATGTCAAGCCCACAGATTCAGACGAGACGGATCTCATCCCGGAGGCATCGGCGGTAGTTGGCATGAGATCGTTTGTGTTGATGGGTGTGATATCAGGGAGCGGGGGAAGAGGGTTTGGATAGCGGTGTGTAGAGAAGGAGGATTGAGCAGGAGGCGGGGCGCCAGCGTAGGCTTGGGAAGAGGAATTGGTTCGTGTGCGAGTCCTGCTTCCTGCCGAGGATGGGGGATGTTGTTGCCAGGTAGGATTGTCGTGAGAAATAGGTTCGGGGGAAGATGTTGTTTGGCGGTTGTTGGGGAGATAGTAAGGGTTTGAGTTGGTGTCGTAAACATGGTGGTTGTCTTCATAGGCGGGGAATGCTGCGGTTGACATGCTTGATACTGAGTTTCCGTGGGGGCGGCCTGTGTATAGTGGCTGGGGTTCGCCGAGGTCGGATTCACCGCTTGACCAGCGCTCGAGCTTTTCGTTCAGGGGTTCTTCTTCGGGTTGAGAGGTTCGCGAGTCGCCATGGACTAGGCCGAGGGATTCTTCTTCTGTGGCAGACTTGCGAAGATCGCCTCCAAGGTGAGTCCGGCGCAAGATGCCACGGGGTGAAGTGACTTGAGATTCACTGCCGGCCTTCACACGGTTCATCATGTTGTTGAAGGAGAATTGGCGGCGGGCAGTGTTAGCGAGAGGCTCCGGGGCAAGGGTGTCGGGCTTTTCGTCAGCCCATGAGATCGATCGTGGGGTGTCGCTACGGGGACGGTTTGGATGGAACGGAGCATCCAAGCCTCCAGCTCCGTGATACTCTGTATCGGCATTAACACCTTGGTGAGGCATATCTGTCATACGGACAGATTGTGTGTTGGCATCAAGATTCTTCTCTTCCTGGGTGAGTACAGGCCTCCACTGCCCATGATGAAGCACGCTGGTAGCCCGAGATCGGATACCATCCAGGAAAGAATGACCACTTTGCTTTGTGGTGGGTCTGTGCTCATCTTCCTCCTCTTCAGTAGGGAAGTGTGACATGCCCCACGGTGGATGTTGCTGCTTGACCGAGGGTGTTCGCGGAGTGCGTGGTCGCGACATGGTAGGACCTTCTCCAATGACAGTCTTGCGCCGGCGCAGACCATCCCATTCAACAATCTCATCTTCACCGGGTGGCTTCAGATAATCCTCGTGCTTGTCGTGGAAAAAGCGACGGGCTTCATCTGATTCCATGGTTCGACGGGCTGTAGAGATACGGCGGATGATGGAGGCCGCACCGCGAATAGAGTCAGCCTTGGGCTCGGATTCGGGCTCTTCCACGGTAGCAACCTCCCGGATCTGGTCGAGATCGCCCTTGAATACGGCAGCATCGGGAACATCTTTGGCAGACTTGGATAGCTGCAGTAGAACCACGCCTGCACAAATCTGCAAGAATCCAATAATTACAGTTGCAATCTGAACGCCCGTACCCTTGAAACCCTGGAACAGGATAGCAGAGGTAATAATCGTGGCACTTGTGAACATCACGTAGTAAGTCGGGGTGACCAAGGCGGCGTTGAAAAGGTTAAGAGCTTTCTATAAAAAGGGTCAGCGCAACTCAAACGTATCAGAATGATCGAAACATACGTTCAGATAAATGATCTCAGTCAGTAGTGTTCCAATAACGAACACAAACAAGACATAGAGAAACCAATGCTTAAACTGCTCCTCACCATTGATCTGAGCAAGAATAGCAGAGCCCAACCCCTGGGTAGCAACGACACTCAAACCACCAACCATGCTGCAAATACTGATATAAACAAACATACTCTGCTTGCCATATCGCGGACCAGCCCAAAGAGCCGTAAAAACAGCCCCAACGATAATCAGCCCAGCATAAGTCAAAAACCCAGGCTGTATAACGAAATGCTGCATACCCTGAATATCAGCGACAGATGACTGCTCAGGCGCATTCATAGCAATAGTCACAGACCCAATAATACAACAGAAACAGCCAACCTTCCCAACGAAACTCAACCGTTCTTTGAGGAAAATAGCCGACAGAATCGTCGTAATCACAACGGACAGCGCACCAAGCGGCGTAACGAGAATCGCATCGACGAAAGCATACGCAACAAAGTTGCATATCTCTCCGATGATCATCAACGTCATGCCAGTCCACCACCAGAAGTTCTTCAAATATCCATATCCCTCTCCTGCCTCTTCGTTGTATTTCACATTCGCCTTGAGCAACCCGATCTTCTTGATCACGAATGATATACCGATAAACACACCGGACGCAACAGCTAGCGAAATACCAACGGCTTTGTATACCGGCGGTCGACCCGAGCTCTCAGCGCGAGCGAGCAGCGTCGAAGCTTGCGATAGAGCGGAATTGGGATCCATGGTTGCGAGATGTGAGGTGTTGCGAAATAGCCACACTGGCCAGCAGTAAGAGGCGAAGAAAAAAGGGCCCCGTATCTGTCGGGGTAGAGAGTCGTCCGAAGACGAGACTCAGCGACTATCTGAAACACTTATCGAAGCTGCCACGCTGTATCGCTTGAGCGTATCGCCTTGGGCGACTATCGGTGGGACTGGTTCGGATCGAAAGTCGAGATGTCGCAACAGCGGACAAGGGTAGGAGGAGTGATCTGGAATAGCGTCGATCTAGGAATGCTTCTGGAAAGGGTGGCCACGAGGAAAAGAAATGTGGGATTTCCGCAAGGGGGCACGTCAGCCGTTGGCGCTAAGACTCTCGGTGGCGCTTTGATGCAACGCAAAAATCAAGGGTTTCGAGGGTGTAGGAGAGAAGGGATGCTTGAAGAGAATAGAAAATGACTTGAGAAATACAAGCAAAATGCGACCCTGGGAAAAGGGGAAGGACATTGTAAAAGTTGCAGAAACAGAGAGGCTGGGTTAGTCCCTGTGGGGAAAGGAGGTACGGGTGGGTACTTGCTGGTGGGGCAGAGACACTGCGATCGGCAGGTACCTTCGATGTATCTTTATTGTCACTCTAACTTATCTCTAAATAGAGTGGCGAT